CAGATACATTTCAGACAGCGAATGGGACATGTGCACTAGATGGGCTGGTGTCAAAGCAAGTTTGTGCATTTGTTTTGGGTTATTTTTTGAACTCTTGGGAGTTAGCTGGCCAGCCACACTACTCCAGGGAGCAATAGTTCAGACTGTCAAATCACTCCTCTGGGAGTAGCCAGAGCCAGACTGCTCAGGCCAGTGTACTTGCTCAGATATTCCCCTCATAATATGGGAGGAGTATTTTGTACCCTGCATATGTGCCTTCCCCCCCCCCCCCAGAAAAAAACAAAAAACAAAAAACACAACAACCAACAAGTCCCTGAAACTCTCATTACGTGGAAGCAAAGAACCAAAGAACCAGCATCAAGACTGTTTAATAGCCGATTCCTGTTCCTGCTATTTGTACTCCCATATGATTGATAAGCAAGTTGTAGGTTAAACAGATTAAGTGTATTCTGGAAGATTGTTTGCTGAGCATAAGTGATGATAGGAAATTAAGTGGCACAGAAATCTGACTGCTCTGCAGTCATCGCTTGCTGGGTTAAGCCACTGCTTTCTGGATGTGGTCCAGAAAGACTGATCATATATTCAAGGACAGAATGCAGAAGATAAGTGTGACATGCAGTTGTGCTTTTGTAAAAGAGCACTTTGGGCTCGGCCCCCAGTTAGATCATTTATTTATCTGGCACCAAAGGGTGATAATGGCTTGTTTTCAAGTCTCCAAAATAAATGAACTATACTGCATGCAGAAGTAGTCCAGGCCAGCCAGCAGAGGATAGAAAATATGCAGGGTCAGCATAACACTGGTTTCAATTTCAGTTACAAAAACATTAGAGCTCTCATTTAAAACAAGATGAGGAAACTAGGTCCTCTCTCCACTCTGCTGAGAGCACCAGCCTTGCTCCCCCCAGAACACTGATAAAAATCCACCTCAGACAGAGTTCGGCAAAACAGTTTGGGGTAACGCTTTCCTGCTGCCATTTACACACCAAGATTTTCTTAAAAGCATCTTCAGTCAATTCCTTAGGGCTAAGCTTTATCTCCTACCCTTTTATGCCTTGCTACATGAGATTGACTCACAACTTCAGTCGTGCAAGGAAAGTATGTGTCAGTCCACTCCCAGAGCACCTCAGGCCACCAGATTAGTCAGTCTTCATATAACCCTGCAAAGGAGGCTGAGTCAAGCCTAAAGGGTTGGGTCAGCCAGATCTCCTAAAGCTAAAGGGACCAGTTTAATAGTCTGTATCCTTCACAGATAGGAGTCCTGGAAGTCAAGTCTTCCCCAGATTTAACTGGGTTTTAAGTTTCATTAGTTGCCCAAACTGGGCAGACCAGCTTCCCATCACCTGTACACTGAGATTCATGTTGGAGCAGACTACGTGCCACTGAGGGAAAACCAAGGTCAGGAGCAGCTCCTAAGCCAAACCCAATCATTACCCAACAAAAGCCCTGTGTCCTGGTGCTTGCCAGAGTCACTTGCCAAGCGCAAGTTTGATGAGGAAACCTGGCTGCTTGTCCCAAGTTGTTATAAAGCCGTATGCCAGTGGCAGTCTAAATGACTGCACAGCGCTTGTTGGAAGTACCAGCAACAAGGGGCTTTAGTTAATAGCTCCCGTGTGCCAGTTCACAGCGCAAACTACTCCATGGCTCAGACACTGCAGAGCTCTGAACCCATCGCTGAGATGCCCAAAGTTCAGCTTTTAACTTGAGGCAGATCCAGTCTCGGGCAACTCTGAGCTCTAGATTTAATAGTACAGACTCAGTTCTTTTTCATGCAGAGTATCTTGTTCCACTTGGAGGAGTGTTATGCTTCGTACCACACTTCAGAGTAATCAGTTTATTCAGAATAGCAGTAATTATCCAGTGCTTGGATTCAGGAGCCCTCACAGTCCCAGATGCAGGACATGATATCTGCTACCAGTGGAAGTTTTGGGTGGTTACTCCAAGCAGGGCTGTGACCCAAACAAGGTATGTGGGTGACTGATAAGCTGCTGACTGTAAGAGTCACCTGACCAGCAGCAGCTTACCAAAAACATGCTAAGTCTTTAGTTCACAGCACTCCACAGCTGAACAGTGTCTGCTTCCAGGCTTGGTTTCTGGGCTCTCCACAATCTTTCCTGTCTGGAAGGTGACTCTCAGGCTGAAACATGAGCTATCTGTCAAGCTACACACGTGGTCTCACTCATCCTGACAGCATTCTGCTTGAACTCTGACAACTGGACATGCCAGAATCATTTGTTTTCTGCTTTTGCATGGAGACCTAAACACACAACTCCACTAGAAATTTATTGGACTCAGTACAGCAGTTACCAGGCAGGTGTAATGCTCTGCTTAGCAGGGTGGTTTCAACCACTCATACCAGTTTTGTGCTGTTATATTAAAGTAAGCAGTGACCACTACACTCTGTAATCCTCAAATTAATGGATTACTGTTGAGTGGAAGTGTTCAGTAAGGCTGACACTAAGCTGAAGGACCAGGAGCTCCAACAGAATCTGTATCAAACCAGTTAACCCATCTCTAAGGGAAACAACTGCACACAAGGCTGTTCCTTTGCAGTTTTGATGGATCTTATGCCTATAGTTGGAATAGGTCACAGCCTGGGATCTTCCAAGTATTACAGATATAAAGGTCATGGGAATGACCTCTGTAAAACTAAAATGCAGTACAAACAGTTCTTCATGTTACTTGTTACTCTGCAAGCTGCTAAACCTTCCCCGTCACGACAGCCTTGTTGCTTCCACAGCGGCTCTCCTGGCAGATCAACTGGAAAGCTCCATTTCAACTCCAACAGCCCTTGACATTATTAAAAGTAGCCCATCACACTGCAGTCAGTTTGAAGGGCAAGTGAAGATTGTTTTCACCTCAAACATGACACCAGCTCATGTGCACTGTTGCTCAACACACGCTGCTTGATCATTTGGCGCGAGTATTTTAGGGAGGCTTGTGCTGTTCAGAGGGACAAGGGACTTAAAGACCCCTGGCTGAGCTCAAAAGGAACAGCCAGCTGCAGCCTGTGATGGGCTGGGTGAAGAATTGCACTGGTTTTGGCTAACATTCAGGTAGAGGTGCCCACAGACTGCAAGTGAAACTGTCTTCCCACTCCAGGAACTGCTGCTGGGAGGTGTCATGAGGTGCTCAAGGAAGGATGACAGCAGTGCATCACAGGCAGATTTTACAGACTAAGCTGGACAAGACCAAATGCTCCTGTGTAAAGGAACTGTTTATAGCTTAAATCAGTGTCTGCTGGAAGTACTGAAGTGTTAACATGCAGCTGTGTTCACAACCACAGGCATTACCTAGCAGCTAGTAGGTAATTCCAGCCATCATCTTCCCACCCAGGAATTAATAAGATGCCTCTCAAAGCCTCAGCATCTTTTCTAAGCCACTCAGTTGGCAACACATTTTGACTTTAGGAAGGTTTTTCAAACATCAGGTGCAGTTTTCACTGGTGACTTACTCTGCAGGTACCATCCAGTGTTAATATTCTCACTACTTTTATAAATGATCCATTTAAATTTATACAGGGAGAGAGGCAGAGTTCACACATTCCCACTCAGCACACAAGCAGAGCCACATTAAATCACCAAGTCCTAACTTTGTCGCTGTCAGTGAATCCAGGACTGGAGTGAGTGTAAAGGTAATTAACCTCGGAGGTCACAGCCCTGTAAGACGGGTCCAACTTCAGCCTGCTCTAAGCTCCTCAGAGCCTGCATTTCCACATGGAGGAATAAAGGCAGTTACTTCAGAAAGCTCCTCAAACAGGCTCCAACATTTGCCTCAGTGTGAAAACTTAAGGTCACATGCACTTAGACATACAAGCATGTGCATTGTTTCAGTCAGAGTTACACCACGCTTCACTGGAAGCCACGAAAATATTCCACTGGTGCTGCCCCACCGAGAAGGCACATGAACAAAGTTGCACTTCATGAGTTTTGTTGTAAGGTGACACAGAAGGGGCAGCAAGTTCACCAGCTGTCAGTCAGTGTTCTTGCCACCTAAGGAAGGACACCTCCAGCAAAAGACAACCTCCCCTGTCAGCACAAGGCAGGACAATACAACTGGATTGAAAACTGACTGCATTTTTAAGGCACGTTTCAGTTTGGAGGGAGGGGGATTGCCCCTGATTGCAGGCAGTCCCCACAGCATCCAAGCAAAATCAGCAGCTACTGCTCCTTCCTTTCTCAGCAACAGACTCCCAGGCAGCAGCAGGTTCCTGCAGGGGTTGACCCACAGTTAGGAGGGTTTATCCATAGAACCATTACATTTTCCTTTTACTGAGGATGCCTCAGTCATACATAATTGAGCACGAGAACAGCTATCACTTACTTGCTTGGAGGGGCACGAGCCAACCCGTGTAAACCAGCCCCTGACATTACAAACAGCCAACTAAAATAGAAGTTGTTCCACTGATCCCATCCATTACATCATGGAAATTGTTATTTTGTCATGAAAACTCCCTTAAATATCCAATTTAATCTCATTAATAGAGGAATGAAGCTCTCGCTTCCAAGGCAGCAGCTGCCACTACCTCTGACAGACACAGGAACTCAGATGTGGTTTTGGATGCCTCAGAGACTACTGGATGCAGTCTTAGGAGATTAAGGTAGTGTCATCTTTTCAAACTTATAGTAAAAAGCACTTCTGGAAGCATTTATAGCCAAAGCATCGAGAAAATGCCTTAATCTCTTGTCCAAACCCTCTTACTTAGGAAGGGAAAAATTAGGTCTGCTGGACATTTCATCAATCCAGTACAACCACTAAACAAACCAAGAGAGGAGGGACCTTGCCTTTCGCAATAGTGGTGGGAGGGAGGAAGGCACACGCAAGCCATGTCAGTGCAATCTCATCAGCAACCACCTCTGCCAGGTATTTACAAAAAAAGCCCGACTTCTGGAGGGAAGCAAGAAGAATTCACCCTCTCAAGCCGTGTTTCATTAAATATTTTAGCAGCACTGTCTGATCAGGGCGGTGGAACATGACGCAGCTCACGCCGGAGCAGTTCTTACAGAGCAGAAAGGATACATCCTGTAACAGTGCAGTTCCTTCCCATGGATCCTCATCATGCTGCAGTTATTTGTCTGTGCTCTGCACCTAGTGCTGCCTGTCCCTGCAGATCCACTTCTTGCAACATCTTCTCCTTTCCTGAAGGAGAAAATCATCTCCTCCGTCCAACATTAAACATCCCGCAGTATCTTTCCCATCCTCTCCCATTTGTAATTCCCTGCATTAGCCAAGCTCCAGCAACGTTGATTCACTCACAGCACCCAGTGCCAAGTCAGAGCCTTGGTTAAAATTCTTCCTCCCCTCCTTTTTTCCCCCTCTATACACAAAGAATCCTGGAGGCAAATCACTCCAACAGAAAACTGCCCCACAGGGAGAGGATTTTTCAAAGCCAAGCAGTTTCTGCACCTGCTAAAAGTGCTAAATTAAGG